CAAAGTAGATAAACAGAAGAAAAGAGGTCCATGGATTAATTTTAGAGGCACTCGAAGAGATCAGAGAGGTGAAGCGGAAACTGCAAGAAGAGAACAGAAAGAGAGTGTAATGTTCTAGAAGTAAAGAAAGTGCTTTAAGGAGGAAGGAGTGATCAACTGTATCAAATACGATGCAGACTGAGAACTGACCATTGGATTTAGCCACGATGACCTTGGATGACAGGAATTTCAGTGGAGCAGTGGGGAGAATGGAGGAAATGGAGTATAAGTAGCCCTTTTGAGGAATTGTACTATAAAGGGGAACAGAAAAATGGGCGGTAACTTAGCGTAGAAGTGAGATATAGACAGAACGTCGTAAGAAGGGAGAAATAACATGGTGGTCAAAAGAACACAAGCCCTACTCCACTGAGGAAGGGGAAGCGTAACTCTCTATTCCTTAAGCGTGGGCTGCACATAGTAACTTCCTTCCAGAGAATATAGATAATATGGAAAGCGGGGAGGGAAAGAGTACTTGAAAGTGTAGAGACCTGACAGACGTGACCTCAGCCATGATTCAACATCATCAGTGATACGTCAACAGTGACAGCATTACACCTGATGTGATGTAATGAAAATGGCACTTTACCTCTGTAGTGTGCCTCCCCTAAAATCCATAACCTCAGTCTCGTCATGAGAAAAATATCAGAAAATTTTCAGTCAAGGGACACTCTACAAACTTGTAGACCAGTACTGACCAGTACTATTCAAAACTGCCAAAGTTATTAAAAACTAGAAAAGTCTGAGAAGCTATCACAGGCAAGAAGAGATGAGAGAGACATGATGACTAAATGTGATGTGGTGTCCCGGATGGGATCCTGGAAGAGATAATGGACATTAGGTAAAAATGAAGAAAATCTGAATAAAGAATGGACTTCATTTAATAATAATGTATTGATATTGTAACAAATGTACCATACTAATGTAAGATGTCAATAACAGGGAAAACTGGGTGCAAAGTATATGGGAACGATATAGAGGCTATAGGAACTCTTTGTACTGTCTTCTAAATATTTCTGTAAATTTAAAATTGTTCTAAATAATAAAGTTCATTTAAACTTTTTTTTAAAAAAAGAACATAGGCTCTGGAGTCTGACCATCTGGTTAGAATCCTAATCTGCAATTTACTAGACTATGGTTTGAGCTAAGTTACTTAAATTCTCTGAGAGTCAGTTTCCCTGTCTATAAGATGGAATTGGTAAGAGTACTGACCTCATAGAATTTTGGGGATAAATAAATGAGATAACTCATGTAAAGTGCTTAGCACAGAGTATATGGCAAATAGTAAGCACTCAGTAGATGACAGCCATTATTACTACTACTACTACTACTACTTCTACGACTATTTTAAATCTTTATTGAATAGTGAAATATACATTTAATGGGATTTTACATTTACTTTGTCTTGAAGTGATTAAAAAGTTCTATAATTTTCTTTTCTTTCTTGAGAGGAAGAAAATTGAATACATCCCATTACATATTATCTATAACAAGAGTTTCCTTCTCAGTGTAGCATAAATGTTGAGAGCTTACAGTGTGAACTGCTCCAAACAATTTAGTTTAAATCCTGCTCTATACTGATGCAATGAAATGACTTGTCATCAGAGGCTCTGGATACATGTTATTATGTCTGTAAGGCAGTATAAGATAAATAACATTTTTCCAACTTAGGCTCCTACTTTCAGTATAAAGCCATAAAACAATCGACATCAACCAGAGAACATAGTACATTGTGATTAAACGGTTTTTAATAACAAATTTTATAAAAAGTGGTTTGAAGATTAATGTAGAATTTGTTTTAACATAAAAGAATCTGTGGAGTAGTGAAAGAGTATGGTAAAATAACTATTGCAGTAAGATGCTACTAAAGAAGAGAATTTAAACTAAGCAATGGCCCCCAAACCAAGTTGTACATCAGACTCATCTGTAGAGCTTGGCAAAAAACCAGAAAGGTGTTGGCCCCTCTGTGCAGACGGACTCTATCAACAGCTCCAGGTGTGGGGCCTGAGCCTTTGCATCTTTAAAAGACGGTACAGGTGATTCCAATTTGTGAACAACGGGTCTTCTACCTTATTGTATACACACTGATCACATCATATAGGCTGCCATACGATCTTTGTTGGAGCTGCCTTTGTAAATACGGGCCGATATACACCATCATCAAGAATCATGATCATGATGAGCTTGAGCGCGTCTCGCCTATTACTATTATAGTTGTGTTCGATATGAAATTTTGGTCCTTCCGTATCTTCAGGCTCAGCTGTCCTGAGCACGAGAGGGACTGTCTCCTTGATTCAGTCCTCCCACACTCTCCCCTCCTCTCCCTAAGGTCAAGTTTTTCTCTCGGTACCTCTTTCTCTCTTTCTCCTTTCATGATGCCAACAGAGAAACTCAGCATATTTAACCCAGGCAGTTGCCCTCAACTACCCGGAACTGAGCTAACCTTCCCTTCTTGCTGAGCCAGCAATTCAGGAAGCAGCTGTGTGTTCCAGGTCAGAGCTATGTGGTCCACGCAGTCAGTAGGCACAGCCCCCTGCACAATGAACTGTAGCTGGAGAATCGAGCAGTAGACATTTTACATTCTTCCCCTATGAAAGGATAAATATACAAAGGAACGATGGCCGGACTATATGTAAAAATGGAACTCTTGCCCACAACGTGCATCAGCCAGCCCAGGAAGCCAATCTACCATCTACAGGAACCAGTCTGGGAAGTCAAACTACTATCTGCAGCAACTAGTCCAGGGAGCCAATCTACTATTTATAGTAGCTAGTCCAGGAAGTCAAAGTAGTATCTGTAACAACTAGTACAGAAAGCCAAATAGTAACCCCTGTAGCAATCGGCCCCAAATGGTCTGAACTTGATTAATATTAACTGACAGCTTCCCTAATTTTTGCCCCTGCTTCCAACTTAGGGCCAACTGGAGAAAGCAAATATGCACCCCTAAACAATCACATAGAATTCCCCACTTCTGGTTAGTCCGTCTACAGTTTTCTCATGCCAACAGCCTACAATCGGGGCATACCTCACACCTTCTCTTTTTTCCACTATAAGGCTTTTCTACTCCTCTGCCTGCCTTTGTGTCTTTGTCAAATGCAAGTAACGGTGGCTGACTCCCTTGTTTTGAATAAACAGTCTTTGCTTGTTCTCATCTGGGTGGCCTTCATTTATTTCCATAACCAGGAAAATGGGGCTGCCATGTTTGAAATGGTTCACTAAATCGCTCTCATGGCAGAAATGGCTGTACCTTAGGGAAGCTGTAAAATGTAGCAGAGAGAGCATCGCAATACTTGCAACTCTGAGGAAGTCGTGGCTAGGAAGTGGGAAGTATAGGGTGGCTGTAGGTAAGGGCACAGGCCCTGGCTCCAGACTGCCATGGCTCAAGTTCTGGCTCTAGCTGTGCCATTTTGGGCAAATTACTTAACTAATCTGCACTACAGTTTCCTCACCTGTAAAAACATTGGTGATGATAATAGCACCTGTCTCATTGGGCAATTGGAAGGATTATAAGTGGCAACCCACGTAAAGTATGAATAGCTGGATTGCAATGGGGAGAGAGAGAAGAAGGCAAGGGAAGGAAAAGGGAAGGGAGGGGAGATTCAGCAACAGTGGGCTAAACATCCTGAAAAGCAGCAGTGACCCGGGACTGAGTACTAACTGCCCCTTGCAGACGAGACATATTTTCTCCCATTTTCAAAGTCTCCACCAACCTACTTCACTCATTTATGATACCCACCCGCCAGCCCCATTTGCTACCCAGTAGACTAGGCTAAAAACATTTTCTCTCACAAATTTAGTAGTTCTAGGAAACCAATGGGTGTAAAAACTGGCAATGCCATCATCCATTTCAAAAAGATCTGGTGTGGGAGGAATCTTATCCCTCAAATGCATCCTGGAAATCTCTCTGTGTTCAAGAAATCAAAGACTCAAGTGTCCTTTTCTGAGGTTTTTACTTAAGGGTCACAATTTAAAAATTATAGAGCTTATATAAACAATTTTTATATAACTAGAAGCCAAATGCTACATTCCAGAAAGTTTGGCCATATTTATCAACAACAAACAAAACTTCTTTCCTCATAGGTCTGCTAGTCTTGGTAAGAAAAATAGCTATTTCAGAGAATTAAGGCTAAGTTGTTTTGACATAAGTGTGTTTATTTTCAACTAAAATTAGATGTGGCATCATGGAGTATCAAATCTAACCAAAAACGCCTGTACTTAACAAAACAAAGATTTCCGTCTGAATCATTTCTGGTGATCACACTCAACACTTCCAACAAACAGTTACTCAACCTTCCAATGATTGTGTAAAGTGGAATTCTGATGCCAACTTTCTGGATTAAAAAAGCCATTCTCTAGCATAAACCTTCATTCCATCAAATTGGGTGAATATGATATATTTAACTAAGAAAACCGGGAGCCACGTTCATTACAAACAGTATTTTACTTTAGCATTCCACCTGAAATTTAGTTAAGGTGGGCCCTTGGCAGTGCACTGAAAACACCAAAGGATAAATAGTAAAGTTATAAAAATGTTATAATACGAAAATTGTATTCTAGGGTAATTTAGCAGTGACAAGACATCACATAGGCTTTCTGATTTAAACTACTCTGAACCAGGCAAGGTAGAACTAATTGATAAACATGAGATGGTTTTACTAGGGTAACTTTTTCCCAAGCCTCCGCTCACTGAATCTTCCAGCGATAACCCAAGTTTCTTTGAAAGAGATGGGGGAGCTCTTGGGAAGCTCTCAGAGAGTTTTGTGTCCTTCCCAACACGAGGAAAGGGCAGGTTATCCGTGGGCATCCCCCGGGGGGCGCGCCGGGGGGGGGGGCGCGTCCCCCGCTGTCCGTCCGGGACCGCGCAGAGCTGCCGGGCAGCGCAGGCGGCAGGTCGGACAGAGCGTGCGCGCGGAGGCCCCACCGGCCCCCGCCGGGCCGCGCCCGCCGCCGCGGGCCGCACTCACCCAGGCCGCGCCAGCCCAGCGCGCCGTCGCAGCTGTCCAGGACCGCGCAGAACTCGCCCAGCAGTGCGGGCGGCAGGTCGAACAGGTGCGTGTGCACCGAGAGCGCGCCGCGGGCCCCGCAGCTCCCCGCCGCCGCCGCCGCCGCCGTCCAGGCCATGGCTCGGGTGCCGGAGACCAGGGGCCAGGCAGAGGAGGGATGCGGAGCCCAGGTCTCTGCACGTCCGCGAGGTGCCGTTACACAACCGCGGAAATCCTGCTTCCACGACCGCGGCCAAGACGGCAAAACACGCCGAGCCGAGGCCCTGGAAGGGGCGGGCCCCACATGACGCAAAGCGCCACTCCCCGGAGATGTCCTCGGGGACGCCTAGCCTGGCCTTGGGGACTCCCTACCTCTGCTGAGTTCTTCACGTTGGCCTTAAATTTTGAACAATACTTTCATTCCTCTGGGATTGGGACGTGACTGAAGACACAAAGCAAAGAGTGAGAGCTGGAGAAAGACCAGAATGCAGAACAAAAGGAGAGTCTGCCACCCCCTCTGCCTGCCTACCTTAGCATGACAGTCTTGAAGTGGATGGACATGAGAGCTGTCATTACTTCTTTAAAAAGTTTATTTCGTTTTATTTCGGTCAGAAACCCAATATATTAAGGAACACTTGGAAAAACCAGAAAAATTAAAAGAAAAAATCATCACTCATAGCCCCACTCAGCCGAAGACAACCAACAACCACTCTCAACGTTTTGGCACATTTTCCTTGCAACTTCTACTGAATTTAAACAGATATATGTGCATATATATGAAATGATTATTGGAAAACATGAACACGAGAGAACAAAGCAAAATAACATTGTCTTTTTTTTTTCACGAGGCTGCTGCCTTTCCCCCATACTGCTATTTGATTTTACTATGTTCTCTCTGGAATTTCCTGGTGAAACATTGTTCCACCACTTTTTCCTTCCTCCAAAAGCTTCGCAGACTCTTCACTTTGCTTTCAACGTGGAGGTTAAGTAAAATTGACTATTGTTTTTGAAATCTTCTACCGTTTATGCTGTAATATCCCCCCGCAGTCATGATGAAAATGCTCTGACAAAAAGAGAAAATGCTTTGAAAGTGGTAAGAAAAATCCCAACCTTAATGCCTGGAAGAGTGGACAGTGACCACCAACTGAGAAATATCAACACCTATTTGAAACTTTTCAAATTTGTAGTCTTTGGGAATGGCGCCCCCTAGAGATCAACAGTGATGGTACACTATCATTTCGTGCTCTACCTGGATTTCCAAGTTGTTCTCAGATTAAGTATTCCACAACACCTATTTGAAAATTGGTAAAGGCAGTACCGTTTGGGCAAGAGTTTCTGTATCCCCTTATTCAAATGGCTAAGATTGTATTGTCAATCTGTACACGCTTAAGAAGCCCTATGCCTCTCAAAGGGACTACCTGAAATAAGGTGAGAAACAGAGGCAAGACATGATTAAATATCTGGTAGCTTTTGAATTGCTAGAACAGAGGAGCCGAACTCAGATACGCAGAGGAGCCAGGAAATCATTATGGGTGAGTGAAGCAGTCAGTAAGGCCGGCTTTGCCAGATTTTTTGATTTACAAAGAAGCCAGAATTTTATGTGAAAGCCAGATTATATGAAATCTATAAAATTATGTGAAACCTTTTGTATAATATTTTCAGTGTTGTTCGTGTCAGACCATGCTCTCTCCCTATTCCCTAAAACTGCCTCTGAGTTTTGAATTCTATATCATCAGGTTATATCACTCACTACACTTCACTGTTGCTGCCATTCTCTGCTCCGCCCCTCCACACACACACACACCTCAGTTCCTCCTCCTCCT